AGGGGTTAGACATCTAGGGCGATAAAAATGTTAACTGTGTGCCCCAGTGATCAGCTTCTGCTGCACGCACCCTACCAGGAAGTGCAGAATCACATACAGAATACTGTATATACGTGATTCTGCACACAGCGGCTGCCCTGTAGTAGTAAAGCTGCTATAGGGTGGTCGGCAAGCGGACAATCCAGAATATGAGAATATTGACATATATGAAATTAAAAATATTGAACACATTTTTGAACTCTAGTATGTGCTCAAAAAGGACCCCATCGGAATAGAGATATGGGAACTGTCGTTGGACCTGTATTTAAAGTTGCAGACTCTTGAGTTGTCATCCTGATTTTTTTACTACTAGATGAGTCACTTACCTGGAGTTGGGATGAGGATGACAGCTTAGACAAGGAATAAACTCCCTATTTCTATTATATTGCACTTGTTGTTATATAAGTTGACTATGTTTAATACATTGCATGTAGATCTGTATTCTTTATCCTGGTAGCTTTAATTCACATTTTAGACTTATTTGATATATTATACTACACTTTTAACTTCCTCATAACTAAGAGTATGTAATTTTATTTCACAAAAAACCTGTGGAAGCTATCCCCTCAAATGTCAGACAGAGGGTAAAGACTTAGTCACCAGCCTTGCCTACAGACTCCCTGCAGCTGATCTTTTTCCCTGTTACCCGGTTACATAGTTAGAGAGGTTGAAAAAAGCAGACGTCCATTTTGTTCAACCAACCGAAAATATAAATAAATAGAAAACCCCCATGTACACAATCCTATACCCACAGTTGATCCAGAGGAAGGCAAAAAAATCCCCTCTCTGATTTGCACCAGGGTGGGAAAATATCCTTCCTGATCCCCCAGAAGGCAACCTATAAATACACTGCGCAAAAAAATTAAAGGGACACTTTTTAATCAGAGTATAGCATCAAGTCAGTTAAACTCTTGAGATAGTGATCTTGTCAGTTAAGTAGCAGAGGGGGTTGTTAATCAGTTTCAGCTGCTTTGGTGTTAGTAAAATTAACAACAGGTGCACTACATGGGCAACAATGAGACAACCCCCAAAACAGGAATGGTTTTACAGGTGGAGGCTAGTGACATTTTTTTCCCTACTTATCCTTTCTGACTGTTTTTCACTAGTTTTGTATTTTCTAGGATCAGTGTCACTACTGGTAGCATGAGGCAATACCTGGACCATACAGAGGTTGCACAGACAGTCCAGCTCCTCCAGGATGGCACATCAATACGTGCCATCGCCAGAAGGTTTGCTGTGTCTCCCAGTCTCAAGAGCATGGAGGAGATTCCGGGAGACAGGCAGTTACTCTAGGAAAGCTGGACAGGGCCATAAAAGGTCCTTAACCCATCAGCAGGACCGGTATCTGCTCCTTTGTGCAAGGAGGAACAGGATGAGCAGTGCCAGAGCCCCAGACCTCCAGCAGGCCATTGGTGTAAATGTCTCTAACCAACAATCAGAAACAGACTTCATGAGGGTAGCCTGAGGGCCCAGCATCCTCTAGTGGGCCCTGTGCTCACTGACTGGCACCATAGAACTCGATTGGCATTTGCCATTGAACACCAGAATTTGGCAGGTCCGCCTCTGGCACCCTGTGCTTTTCACAGATGAGAGCAGGTTCACCGTGAGCACAGGTGACAGACATAAAAGGTCTGGAGAAGCATGAAAAAGTTTTCCTGTCTGTAACATCATTCAGCATGACCATTTTGATGGTGGGTCAGTGGTAGTCTGGGGAGGCATATCCATGGAGGGATGCACAGACCCCTAAAAGCTAGACAATGGCACCCTCTCTGCCATTAAGTATCGGGATGAAATCCTTGGACCCATTGTCAGACCCAACGCTTGTGCAGTGGGTCCTGGGTTCCTCCTGGTGCATGAAAATGCCCCGGTCTCATGTGGCAAGAGTATGCAGGCAGTTCCTGGAGGATGAAGAAATTGATACCACTGAATGGCCCCCCATGCTCGCCTGACCTAAATCCAATAGAACACCTCTGGATTATCATGTTTTGGTCCATATGACGCCACCAGGTTGCACCTCAGACTGTCCAGAAGCTCAGTGATGGCCTGGTCCAGATCTAGGAGGAAGTACCCCAGGACACCACCGTCATCTCATTAGGATCATGCCCCAATGTTGTCAGGCATGCATACATGCACATGGGGGCCATACAAACTATAAGTACCATTTTGAATTTTCAGCAAAATAAACTAGCCTGCTGCAGCATTTTTTTACTTTGATTTTTTGGAGTGTCTTTTAAATTCAGACCTCTGTAGATTGATAACTTTCTTTCAATCAAACGATGGGGCATCCTAACATTTCTAACACATTATCCAGTCCATATCAGTATAGATCCAGCATGATATTTTTCCCCATTGAGATCTGATGTGTTTTCAAAGTTTTCCTTTAATTTTTTTGAGCAGTGTATTAATATCTGGTTATATTTTGTGCATTTAGCAATGCTTTCAGCTACTTTTTTTAAAAACAACCTACAGAATTGGCAAAAACTTACCACACAATTTTCCTTGCCTCCTCTGTATGGAGGTGTCCAATTTATCCGAGGTGTACCCCGCCCAATGACTGGTGATCTGATAGCTATTGGAGTAATGATCAAGAAGCAGCAGAGCAGGCTGAACAAGCACAGATCCACAGCATAAATGAAGCAGGAGCAGGGAGAATACATGGCAGTTTTTCAGGTACAGCTTTCTCTCCAGAAAAATGAAAAGGATTGATATCATCAAACCTCACGAGATCAGCCAGGGGCACAGAGCCTCAGATGATTTTACACTGCATATATACAGCTATTAGGCAACAGAACAGGAGTGTCTAGGCACATTCACCATTCACGTCATCGGGTACACTGTTGATTTTCAGGAGGACATCAAGAAAATACTTTCAGGGTGCTGACTAGGAAAAATTAGCTTTTTAGATTTGGCCCAGCTGATTCCTATGCAACAACCAAGCCCTGCACACACCCCACTAGTATAATACAGGTACCTTTTCATAGGTGAAAGAAAGTGTAACATACAGAGAACCAATGACCTCAATATGTTCTTATTCTTACCTTAGCTGTCTGGATTGTTGTCATCGATTTCAACAAATCAGGGACTATCACTGCCATTCTCATCTAAATTCTGCCAGCCTTGCAATGGGATTGTTATGTGCTTTAGGAACATCAATGGTCGGCAATTTCCAGGTTGGTCTACATCAAGCCTTTAAAAGTGCTATTTTTCTTTTCTAAAACATCATTTCCCAGTCTGATTATCAACACATGCATGCCATGAGAGGAGAGTATTTGTATTGGTGATTTATTGCTATTTAGCGCTGCTAGCTACTTTGGTGAAAAGTTGCCAGCAGCGCTGTATTCTATTCTCCATCCCACATTTCTAGCATAGTCCAGGATTTCTTAAACCATGTGGATGATGTACAAAAGTGGGTGTTGTTACAGGTATATCTATCTAGACTGCACAGCTCCCAACTGGCCCTCTTTTTGAGGAATTGTCTGTCTCTTTGAACCAAATCCCTTTGTCCTTCTTTCTACTTAAGTTGTCCCTTTATTGAACTGATGTGTAGATTTGTTTAAAAATGTATTTTTTACTATCAAAGGAAAAGTAGTAGTGATGGAAAAAAATAAGTTAAAAACTAATAATGTTTTACACTTCAGTCATCAGAGTCAGTGTTAATAGAGACATGGTAGGGGCATGCCCTTTGCCTGCATACTTTGTAATGTAACGTGTCACTCTTTACCATCTCATAAAATTGGAAGGTATGCCATAGGAACATAGTTAGGATTTATTAGGAAAGAGCAAGACTCATTCTTAGAATTGATTTGGGATTGTTTTGCCATATACAAACAATGATAAAGCTTTGATATGGATGATATATGTTTTTTCTCCACAGCAATCCAACCAACCTGAAACACATCTGTTTGGATCTTTCTTGGCATTTTTCTTTGGTAACATTTATTTCTGGTTGCAAACAATATTAACCTACAAGGTAAAGCCAAGACATGGCGGATGCTGGATTGGTCCAGTTCGATTCATTCTCTGTATTGCCACCACCACACTTTATATAGGAAGTATCCTTTAAAGCATCAGGCTATTAAGTGGAAATGCCAATAATCAATCAAATTATATTATCATTTAGCTTCCTAGGCATGTATTTTCACAGACATCCACTATGCACTGATTGACTGTGTTTTATAACTGCATAGATCACTTTGTATTCTACTATCTTACACTAGTGTCAAAAGTATTGGGACGCCCGACTTTACACGCACATGAACTCTAATGGCATCCCAGTCTTAGTCCCTAGGGTTCAATATTGATTTGACTCTCCCTAGGCAGCTATAACAGCTTCAGTTCTTCTGGGAAGGCTGTCCACAAGGTTCAGACATGTGTCTATGGGAATGTTTGATCATTCTTCTAGAAACACATTTGTGAGGTCAAGCACTGATGTTAGACGAGAAGGCCTGGCTCACAGTCTCCACTCTAATTTATCCCAAAGGTGTTCTATCGGGTTGAGGTCAAGATGCTTTGCAGGCAAGTCAAGTTCCTCCACCCCAAACTCGCTCACCATGTCTTTGTGGACCTTGCTTTGTGCACTGGCGCACAGTCATGTTGGAAAAGGAAGGGGCCATCCCCAAACTGTTCCCACAAAGTTGGAAGCAGGAAATTGTCCAAAATGTCTAGGTATGCTGACACCTTAAGAGTTCCCTTCACTGGAACTAAGGGGCCAAGCTCAACTCCTGAAAAACAACCCCACACTGTAATCCCCCTGCCACCGAACTTTACACTTGGCACAATGCAGTCAGACAAGTACCGTTCTCCTGGCAACCACAAAACCCAGACACATCCATCTGATTGACAGACAGAGAAGCGTGATTTGTCACTCCAGGGAACATGTCTCCAATGCTTTAGAGTCCAGTGGTGGCAGGCTTTACACCACTTCATCCGACGCTTTGCATTGCACTTGGTGATGTAAGGCTTGGATGCAGCTGCTTGGCCATGGAAACCCATTCCATGAAGCTCTCTATGCATTGTTGTTTGCTAATCTGAAGGCCACACAAAGTTTGGAGGTCTTTAGCTATTGATTCTGCAGACAGTTGGTGACTTCTGCATACTGTACGCTTCAGCATGCGCTGACCCCGCTCTGCCATTTTGTGTGGCCAACCAATTTGTGGTCGAGTTGCTGTTGTTCCCAGTTGCTTCCTCTTTGTTACAATACCACTAACAGTTGACCGTGGAATATTTAGTAGCAAGGAAACATCATGAATGGACTTATTACACAGGTGGCAACCTATCACGGTACCACTATAAATTCACTGAGCTCTTCAGAGTGACCCATTCTTTCACAAATGTTTGTAGAAGAAGTTTGCATGCCTAGGTGCTTGATTTTATACACCAGTGCTCATGGAGGTCATTGGAACACCTGAATCCAATGATTTGGAGGGGTGTCCCAATTCTTTTGGCAATATAGTGTATGTGAACAAAACTGTGTAGAAATGTAAGACCATGATTCCAGATCAATCCACATATTCATAATGCCTCTCTCCCACTTCATACTTTCCTTTATCATCACAGCTGCTCTCTCTTTCCCTTAACTATCTGTCGCTAATCAACCACAGAGACCATCCAGGCAGTATGCCAAAGGAAAAACTCTATGAGCAGACTGTTATCCACAAAGCTGAGTTATTGTGTGGTTTAACACATTGATTCTTCCTATTCGTATAAATCATTGTGCATGTTAAAGTGATTCTAAAGGCTTATTTTTAAAAACAATATACATGTCATATTTACCTGCTCTGTGCAATGATTTTGCACAGAGCAGCCCCGATCCTCCATTATTGAGGTCCTCTGCTGGTGCTCCTGGCCCCTCCACCCTGCCGCCTTGTGCATTCTTGCTTCAGATTTGGCTCTGTGCATCCATAAGACACACAGAGTGTGGCTAGGTCCCGCCCCCTGCTCCCTCCTTACTGGCTGTGATTAACAGAATCAGGAACCAATGACTCCTGGCAGCGTCAGGCAGCTGCCCTGAAATGTCATGTGACTTAAAGTGTGATTTTCAAAGTTTGGCCCCATGTAATGCTTCCTGCTGTCCCAAAAATGTTTGGAACATTTTTTTTTCTCCTCCTAAAGTTTTCATACCTTTAGGCTACTTGAAGCACTGCACTTCCGATGTACCTTGCCGTGGCGAATACATCACATCCTCCTGCCTGTTGGTTCTTGGGATGTATGTGTCATCAATCCCAGAAGTCAATGGGCATCCCCCACTGCAATGAGTGTGCCGTGCTTTCTTCTCACTGTGCAGGAGGTGCATGCTGGGTAGCCAGCTGCACCGTATCCCGGAAGAAAGTGCGGCTGGGCTTCAGATGCCCACAGTGAAGATGGAAGTGCACAGGATCATGAGGGGCCATCTTTAAAAAAACAAGGAAGACAAAAAATTACATCTGCAGCATATGCCATTTTGCATGGCATAAGCTGCAACTGTCACAGAGGAACTTTAAAAAAAAAAGAAAAAAATGACTGGAACTCCGCTTTAATTCTAGGAGTTGCAAAGGAAGCTGATACTGGAAATGTGAAAAAGGTGACAAAATAATTCATGTTCTTTAGGACCACCCTTGTGTCACAATGCCCACTAACTAGGCACACTTTGTGGTATACTTTATTTAGTTCACAGACGTCTGTCCTTAACATGAAAGGGCTTGTTGGTTGTGTCTCTCCCCCCCAGGTCAAATGTTCCCAGTCCCCCCCCCAGGCCAAAGGTTTCCAATCCTCCCCCAGTTCCATGAGCAGTCCATCGCATGTAGTCTGTGCAATCAAGTGGTTTTTAGCACCATTTGCAAAAAGTGTGCATTTCTATTATCAAGGTTATGATTCCTTAACAAGGACTAACAGTGATTGCGTTCGCTGCAGTCAAAAAGCCAACAGTAGCTGCTATATGTGAATGGATTCTGGCCATCATTCTATTTGTATTGTTTGGATTGTTCTCTGTTGAATTTTGGCACATTGATGGACACTTCTTCCACGTTAAGAAAAGAATGACTATTCCTAATGAAATGCAAGTTTCCACTGTCACACTGACTACGTAAGGACTCGGATACACCTGATATAGAACAAAAGTGCCTTGCTGGCTTGTACTGTACTGGAGCAACCCAGGGATATTTATCTATTGGGGTTTACCAGGATTATCATTGCATTTGGATATCAGCCAAAGCATGTCTTAATCAGAGCCAGAGGTTCTACACATTTCAGTTCTTTATTGTGATTTTTCTGTGTCCCATACATTTCAATGCAACACTATTTTTTTTTTTTTACAAAAAATGTGTCAGGGCATCAGATAATATGACTTCTGGAATGTTTAACTTGTACCCCCCTCCCATTCTAAGACAAGCTTTGTCCATTGTACATCTATCAATGCACAAAAATTAATCATATAGTATCATATAGTGCTTCTGAAAATCTGATTTTATCAACTTGGAATAACCAAACAATTAATGTTTATTTTAATTGCTTGGTTAGCAACTCCAATTTACTCTATGCTTTATTAAAAGTAAACTCCAGGCAAATAGATAACTACACAGTTATAATACAGATATGTGAATGGTTGCTTCTGTCTAAAAATGTGTAATTTAGTTCAGTTCAATGAAGCATACCTGTCAGACAATACAGCAAGGTCTGGATCCTCACTCTGCCCTGCTACAGTCAATCAGAACAGTTTGGTCAAGGACCCAGCCAGGGGCGGACTGACAACTCATGGGCCCCCCGGGCAATAGGGGATCATGGGGCCCCTGTGTCCTTGCCCAAACTCAAAAAAACCTGTGAAAAAGGTACCAGGGGCATCTCACGGGGACCCCTACTGACCCCGGGCCCTCTGGAAAAAGCCGAGTTTCCAAATGGTCAGTCCGCCCCTGGACCCAGCCTTTCTGCTTATTTCACAATGTAGGAGCAGTAGTAGGATTCGTGGTTTTTGGGCTCACAGCCCAGAAACAGTATATTTTTGCTGTAGGGTTTTTTTTTCTGCTCTTAGAAAAGGTACATATATAAAGTAAGGTGTGCGAATTTTGTACACAGTAACCAACATGAAAAAATATTCAGTGTACCCTAACAAATGCAACCAGTCAGTTTACAGAGCTCAATAACTCAACAGCAGACACAGTTAAATGAGCCTCCCTGCTTTTTCTTTACAACTCTGTACAACTCTTAACACCTTCTTGTTCACCTGTCAGAGTGAAGTATAATGTTCTGGGTATGGGGGAGCATGAGACGTTCCCTGCCCTTCAACAATGCTGCACTGAGTGCCTGGGTTCTAGAAGGTGGGTGCAGGGAGAGAGAATCTAGTCTTGTGAAAGATTTAGCATTGTATAATGTCTAGAGTTTAGACATGGATTTCTACCTTGTTCTGGCAGCAGAAAAGGGGACAGGGAAGTGAACAAAAGGTAAGTAAAGAGTGGGCAAACACCTAAGGGTCTGTTCACGCTATAGAAACGCAGTCCAGATGCATTCCGGATGTTTCTGCATGAGCAGTTTTTACCTGTTTTTGGTGCGACTGGTGCGTTTTTTTTTTTATTTTTTCCAGTTCATTTTTTTCCTTATCTTTCTCTTCAATTTAAACAGCGACATGTGCATTCCAGTGCATTTTTGGTGCCTTCCTGTGCATTTTTAATGCGTTTTACCACGTTCTAGTACAGTTCTGTGCAGGAAAAATGCTCTACTTTTCTTTCTGCATCCGGAACGCACTGGAACTGCAAGCACTGATGTGAACTATGACATTGACAACCATATAACCTACTTTCTGTGCATTTTGGATGCAGAAAAAAAGCAACTGAAACACATGTAGTGTGAACTGACCCTAAATTAATTACTTTACCTTTAAATAGGGAAAGTTTAGGTTCACCCTAAATAGTCCCGATTGTGTTCATAATACACTATGCAAAGTGTTATCTTCCTAGATATGCAGCATTTGATATGTCTGCACACAAAAAAATTATATTCCAAAAAAAAAAAGACTAAAATATTTGGGTGGGTTACCATCAGCACATATTCACCCCTTCTTTTATCTAACTCCGCTCCCTTTGGCTGCCAGAAGCAAAGTAAAGTACTTGCCACTACTGAGTATGGGTGAGCATGTGACTCAGTCCCCCTCTTCTGACAGCACCGAATACTTGGTAATTATAGCAGTGCTGTCACATAGGGATGGGAAAAAAAGCAAACAGCCCTTTGTGAATTCCAACAAGTTGGTATGGAGCTTACTAATGCTAGCCCTACACAAGTAGAATTTTGTTTGAACATTCATAGAGAAACTAAAACCAAAAATTTTACTCAGAGCATTGGATCCTGCCATCGTTGAGTCAACTAATTTGGTATGAAAGCCCTTAAAACTTCTTCCAGACCTGCTGTGTGACTCTTCTTCCAGACATAATAAACAATTTTCTTTTGTGCCTTTACCACTTGCCCTCCAGAGGATTTGACCCCCTTCCTGACCAGGCCATTTTTTGCAACACAGCACGGCATTTCTTTAACTGACAATTGCGCAATCATGCAACACTGCACCCAAATGAAATTTACATCCTTTTTTCCCCACGAATAGAGCTTTCTTTAGGTGATATTTGATTGTCTCTGGATTTTTAGTTTTTGCACCATTAAAAAAAGACTGTCAATTTTGAGAAAAAAACATTTTTGACTTTTTGTTATTAAACATATGCAGTAAATGTTTTTTTTTTAAAAAAAAATCATATTTCTTCATAAATTTAGGTCAAAATATATTCTGCTACGTCTTTGCTAAACAAAAATCCCAATACGTGTAAATGAATTGGTTTACGTGAAAGTTATAGCATTTACAAATGGAGGTGTATTATATACTGGAATTTTTTTGTTCACTAGTAATGACGGCGATCAACGACTTATAGCAGGACTGTGGGACTGCAGCCAGCATTCTGACACTGGGGGGAACTAACTTGGTGTCATTGACATCCCCAATGACACCAATATAGTGATCAGTGCTAATAAAAACTGACACTGTACTAATGGCATTGGGAAGGAAAGGGTTAACATCTGTGGCGATCAAAGGGTTAACTGTGTGCTGTGTTTTTTTGCTTTACACTGTAAGCACACTGCTTTGTATGGCTCTGCTATGCAGAACCATACAAAGCAGTGTGCAGTAGCTGACAGGGGAGAGATCTGTGTTGTTTATACACAGGTCTCTCCCATGTTGGTGATACTCGGCAATCGCCTGGTGCCGGTGGGGAATCACCGCCTGGGACCCGGTGGTTGACAGCCAAGGCCGGAAATGCAAAATCACATATATGTATGTGATTTTGCGCAGCCATGCCACCCTGTAGCAGTATTTCTGCTATAGGACGGTGCAGAAGTGGTTAAACA